TGATAAACCCGGGGAGAGCGGGGCGGGGAGGGGAGCAGCGGGGCCGGAGCGACCCCCGGCAGCACAAACACCCACACACGCCGGTGTGTCTGTCAACACGGGACTTTGGACCAACGGCCGGGCCCTGCCGTGCTGCACAAGGGAAAGTTCAGCCCTTCCCGTGGAGGGACAAGAGGTGTTGAGCCCTTTGGAGAAGCAAACAAGAGGGAACAGCTCAGGCCTTGCCAGGAGAGCCTTCCCTGCCTGGTTTTGCTTCCCAGGGAAGTTGTGCTGCTGCTGGAGCAGATACCAGGGATGGGATGGGCTCCTTGGTGATGCCGAGGACACGGGGAACATCTCCACCAAGCCTTGCAGGCCCACACGTGGAGGCTGAAACCCACCATGCAACAGAAGGTTGATGCCAGCAGCTGAGGGGGCCAGGCAGGAGGGCTGCCCCACGCCAGGGCAGCCAGGGGCTGGCTCTGGAGCTCCATCTTTGGAGGAGCCAGCAACAACAATGAAGCTCATCTTGGAAGGCAGCGAGATGACGATCAACCTCATGCTCCTCATCATACAGCCTTGAGGAAAAGGCTCTGGGATGTTATTGTGAAGATAAGAATCTGCCTGTTTTCCCTAGTTCTGATAAAATCCATCAATCTAAAGCATTGCTCTTCTTGTCCATCCCCACCTCTCCACCACCAGAGCACGGCCTTGCAGCCACGGGGCCAGATTAAGCCCCACTCCTGGAAGCAGGGGGAGATCCACCCAGTGGAGCTCAACCTGGCAATGACTTCCCTGGGGCGGAGCAGCTTTTGGTGTCTGGGACGGGCCAACGTCACCCTCAGCACCCTTATCTGCTGCTGACCTTGAGCCTATCAACCCTGCTGGGCACTTTGCTCCTCCTGCAGCTTCCAAGGAAGCCCCCACCGTGCTGCACCCGCCCTTCCCCAGGTCTGAGGTCCCGTGTTGTCCCCACGTGCCACCCAACAGCCAGGACAGCCCGTCCCAGTGATAAGGGCAGTTACCTGTCCTGTGACCCAGCAGCACAACCCACCTCCCTCAGGTGTTGGATCCCTGGGGAAGCTGCCCCTGAGATGCCACAGGGGTTTGGGGAAGGTGGAGGAGGGTCCATGGGGGAGCTGAAAGGAGCTCTTGAACCAAGGGCCGAAGTCTCCTTGCAATGCAAAGGAGGGGATGGAGCTTGCTGGTGGCTGGGGAGGGAGAGAGCTGGGGGGCCAGACCCTGATGGGAATGCTGAGGACACCCAGGTCCTCCCCTCACCAGCAAGCAGAGGGGCAGGAGCCAGGAGGTGAAGTTACAGACACTAGAGGCAAGAAAGGCTCCAAACCTTGAAGAAATCGGAATCAGGTTGAGAAATAAATCTCAGTTCCCACCTCCTGGAGCATCCCAGGTGCTCCTGGCAGCCAGAGGCACCTCCAGATAGACCCCAGAAGGACTGGCTGAGCCCCAGGGGCTCACACCCATCCTCAGACCTCACCAGCTGATAGGAACCAGCCACCATTGGGTTGGGTCACAAGGGAGCTCAAGGAGCCACCCGACACAGGTGGCAGCCCAGCATTGCAGCCCTGGTCCCATCCCTGGTCAGGGTCCCACAGCACATCCCAACAAGATGGTGACAGGAGAAGAGAGGCCAGACCCCAGCTGAGGGTCACTGAGCCTTCCTTTCCTCCTGCAGCAGCTTCTC